TTGATTTATTATACCGGTGAAGTAAAAGTAACATTTTTGACTAACACGTAACACAGTTCATTGAAGTGAAAATTATATTGGGCGTAATGAGTCTAGCCCACAAATATATTTATATATATATATATACATATTTTCAAGAATTGGTTTTGTCGAGATTTTGTTTGACTGGTTGAAGGATTTCATCATGAGGTGACATCAGTCAGAGAACCATTGGAAACCAGGAACGACTTGACAGCTGTTTCGTCTCTGCTTGTGACTCTCCATTATTACGCACCTACCGGGGTTCAAACCCACGACCTTCTGGTTCCAGGGCCAGCTCGCAGATCATTAAGCCACTGGTACCCGATCCAGTCAATCAAATCCCTACAAAACCAATACTTGAAAAAGGATCTGATGCTCACTGGCGATTGACCCTATTCAGGCAGTAACCTTGAGTTCTAGTGGGGAGCCGTGACCAGTAGGGTACAGCATGTTGAAGGTGAGGACAGTTATTCATCGAAGAAGACATTTCGAAATGGTTGTGCTATGTCATGAATTGGCAGAAGTTAGAATTCATGGACTGGCCATTGAATGTGGTCCCAGTGTGGTGAGAGCTGGCTACTAGCCAAAGTTGGTAGACAGTAATTGACGTCAATATTTATGTCCTCAGTATTGGTGGTGAGAAAATGAGAACAAGTACTTTGCGTAGGCGGATACAGTTAGCATATGGATGATCTGACACAGCCACAAGAGATGCAAGGTTAACTTTCTGTGAGAAACAACCAATCAAAAGACTGTATTTTCTACTAACAAAAATCTACAATAATGTACATTAAAATCTATAAATATGTGTTTATTTCCTAAATAAACGATCTGTTGCCTGGCCCTTGTCTTCTGTTGTTACACCAGTGGCTTAATGGTCTACGAGCTAGCTGGCCTTGTAACCTTGTGCTTTCGAACTCTGGCAGTGAGTGCGTACTGCTGAAGAGTGCCAAACTGGAACGGAACAGCTGTCCAGTCCTCCCAGGCTTTCCAATGGTTCTGTAACTGATGTCAGCTAGTGATGAAATCCTCCAACCAATACATATATATACATATATCTTTGTTACTGAGACAACCAATAAACTTCACTTCATGAATGAAATTCAAGGATAGACGTTTTGCGTGTACTCCATAAAAATATCCACTGATCGTATGATCCACAAACCTATAACATGCTCACACCTCTGGATTATCTAAATTTTTATCCAGCATCTACTTTTCCCTGTTTGTTGCTGGATGGCAATATCAACTGACGCAAATTTTAATTGACTTCTAATCGATCGATGTGCACTTGAAGGAGACAACGAAGGAAAATGTTACAGAGGATTTGCTCTTGTTTCAGTCAGAGTGACACTGTATCATATGATAACCTGTTGTTGAATACTTTACTTGAATATTCTATACGAAGAGTAAACCTTTCGCAAGAAACTACTCTGAGAATTCCCTATCGTGTTTAAACATAATTTCCAGAATACAAACGTTACTATCATTATTATTATTAATAGATAAGAAGGTCTTATTATTATTTATTTATTTCCTTCACGTTCCCAGTGGAACATACGGCTTCAGGATAGTGGCTTGAAGTTTCTGTAGCAGTGCTTATTTTACAGGATGGGGTTGCTAGCGTCATGCCCAACCTTTCCTCTTCACCAGGATTATTTCTGGATTAGCGAGGTAAAGGAGTGCGTCTGTGGCTGGGGATCGAACCCCGGAGCATGTGCATGGTCGGCGAGCGCCCTAACCACTATGCCACCGACGCACTAGATAAGAAGGTTAATCAGACAGAATCGCAATCATCATCACCTGTGAGATAACAGATATCTATTAAACACTGATGGAATGAGACTAACGTAACACCGTGACTGGCTATCCTATGAGACGAAAGATGAAACCCCGTAAAGGGTAGTATAATGATATTATTATTATTATTATACTAATTACTTTATTCCAAACAATAATAATTATACAGAATGGAATTTTCAGCGTTTTATACATATCGCAACAATTTACCTCCTTTTATTAATACGTACATACATATAATTTAACATATCAGTAATAATATTAATAATGAAACCACTATAGACAGAATGTTAGTAGAAACATAATGAAGTACAAGTAGATAGTATCATAGATAATACATATAATAATAATAATCTTTGCTCATAATTTGCAGTTCAGTTAGTACTGATTTAAAAAGTTTATAAGTTCCTTCCTAACATCTGACTCTCTCTTCACACAAAACCACCCGTGCTAAATATGGTGGTATGGCAGAATTTTTATATTTAGTAGCTGTACGAGAGTAAATTCTTATGAAGTTTCTTCTGATTTTGACCTAAGAGATACAAGGAGGAAGTTGAGAATAAAGAGGATGTTCAGTATCAGACAAGGTAACTTTGGCCAAATGCTCGCAAGAATCTAAGTGTTTACTGACAACAATGTCAGTTAGCTGAGTCAAAGATACACTACTAACCCTAGTTACAGTCTTTAGTGTTCGACGTGATATTACACAGTCTTTTTTGAGAAGTCCAGGGAAGAATAATGGCGAACAATAAAGGAGAATTGGCAGAATACATGAATTAGCAAATTGTAAGAGAAGAGGTTGAGTTATGCCAGAAAGTTTCACCCTAACTGTTTGAATTTTGTCTGCACCAAAGATGGGAATAGACATAGTACGCTAGTTACTGACCAGTATCCGATTAAAAATATCCAGTACAGTCCTACAGGAGGTCAGTCGCGAGCTTTAACACCTCATTGGTAACGTCTCTGACTGCAACACTGGGTAAGGCGGGTTTGAATCTCAGAAGGGACACGAGTTCTTTCAAGGCTAGAGATAAGTCTTGCTGACTGGTGAATGCTAACTAGCACGAAACCCCAGTCGAGGGTTTCCGGCCGATCGCCTCCAACTTTCTAACAGCAACAATTCACAGTGCACTTAACTGATGGATTTCAATCTGCATCAAAGATAGGACTAGAAACGTTATACAACCTACTGAGTATTGTCCGATCAAAAAGTCCCTACTTCTTTATGTAATGTCAGTACTGATAATCGGTGACAATAAATGATAGATTAGGCATTAACTGCTCTTCAAATTCAAATATTTTTTTTGAAAACAATTGGTCGTGGCAAAGATTTATTTCTTAAGAATCCCACTTCACTCGTCCAATGGTAATACTTGTAATACACTAGTTGGAAGGCATTGCGAATTTGTGTTTCTAGCATTCATTTTCAAAAAATGCTTCTAATTAAGGTTCAAAGCGAACTAAGTGAAAAGAGAACACACCGTTTAGAACAATTAATGCCCTGATTATATAATTCACAGGAAAATCAATTTTCAGGTATAACTGTTACTAGGGATTTAACACATTTGAGCTCATAACTATAAAATAACAAAGCAATACAACTTGTATTTACTCATGTTGGGGGGGGGGGGCGGAAAGGAGCTTATTCTCAATCCAAAATCAACCAAATGAAAATAGTTCATTGTTAATGGAAATCAGTTTTCGATCTCAGAAAGTTCGATGCAGAGTGAATATGGCTATCCTGAGTTAATATATGCGATATGTGTATTCGTTAAAGCAGAATACAGTCAAAAAAGGCCTGACTAGTTGCACTAAATGAATGAATGAATGAAAAAGCAATGCCAACATAACTATGTAACATCGATACGCGTAAATCGAATTGTTCAGAATGTAGAATAATAATAAAATAATAACTATTATTCACCCAACAACTGAAGTGTAGGTGACTGTTTCTACCAAACAAATCAAAATGCGTGTACAATACAATTTATATACCTAAACTTTCAAGTGAATTTAGCTTGACTGATATATATCGTTCATTTTCTGAACTAAACTGGTTGGGTGAGAATATTCTTTACTAACCAACTCGTTCAAACTTTTACGTAACTTCTTAATGTAGCTCTAAAAATCCTACTGCCAACTTACTGACTACGAATTCCTGACGAGGTTTCATCTATCAATGGCTATACCTAAAACCTCAATGAAAAGTATGACGCGTTACTGATAGAGTCTTTGACTGCTGCACTAGGAGATCTAGGTTTGAATCTCAGAATGGAAATGAGTTCCTTCAAGATTGAACTCACTCAGCATCAACAACAAAATTCGGATTTTCAATACAAACGTCAAGTCAGTTCTTCTATACAGATTAGAATATTTCCAACAGGTTGCAGACATTCATCAACAGCTGTCTTCGTTCTATGCTGAAAATCAGATGGCCGGAAAGAATCACCAACAAGAAACTATGGAAACAAACAAAACAAGAACCAATCGCCCAACAAATATGCAAGAGAAAGTGGAGATGGATGGGACACTCGTTGAGGAGGCCGCTGGGTGACATCGCGCGTCAGGCCATAGCTCGAGTGGAACCCGAAAGGTAAGCGGCGAGTGGGACGTCCAAGGGTGACATGGAGGAGATCGTGTGATGAGGAACTGAAACAGTATGGATTAACATGGATGCAGGTGAAAAGTACAGCAGAAGACAGAAGCAAGTGTAGGCGTGCAGTTGAAGCCCTATGTTCCACTAAGAACCCAAGGGAATAATAATAATTATAAGATTGAAGATTTGCCTTGCTGATTGGTGAATGTCAACAAGTACGAAACCTAGGATGAAGGCTTCCTGCCTCCTAACAGCTAACAACAATTCAGAGTACATTGTAATGGCAGGTCACCTAGTTTATCGGCCACATTACACACTTGACTAACAAAATTCATTCTGCACCAATTTAGTGTCCATTCAAAGTATTCTTGTTCTACATTGAACGTATGCAGCTTATACTATGCTACATACGCAAAGTCTTATCTAAACACTTTACTTCACCTAATGCTCGACATAACTGCAGCAACAACTAAAACGTAAAAAAAACTCCTTTCAATCTCAATAAATTTAAATTTCGCTAATCATTTATCTCCCGTCAATTTATAATAGAATTCAACAATGTTAAGTATTAGTGAAAACATACCTTTATTACTAAGATTCAATTGATTACGTGAAGAAGTGTTCAAACGATTGACAGAACTGTTCAGGGATGTGCGAATTGATTTATGACAGTGCATATCATCATTGACATTTGAATCATTTGATGTGGTTGTCATAGCAGCTGAAGAAGTTGTATTTATACAGTGTTCTGTAGGCAGATACCGACTCCGCCTACTAGTTGTAGGGACAGTAGTACTAGTGCTATTAGTAGTATTAGTAGTTGTACTTGTAATAGTAGTATTAATAGGTGCACGATTATGATGCAAACGATCGCCATCCAATTCATCCACCACTTTATTTACATTAGAGCTGGAATGAGTTTTTATACTAGCTGAAGGATGATTATTAGACGAGGTTGTCATGGTCGTCGTTACTGTTGACGCTGATGTTGTCAGAACTCCTACTGACAGCATACTACTGTGTGAATGTAATCGTTGCATTCTACGTGTATTCCAATAACTAGTTGTTTCGTCTTTATCAAAATCTTTACTACTACTACAATTATTAGTATTATGATTAGCATTGCTGTTGACTGTGTCGACGGAGTCCACAAAATCCGCATCAGCATAATCAATATTCTCATTTACAGACACCTTTTGAGATCTTCTAGATGAAGTTTTTGTGTCATTCGAAATAATATTATTATTATGATGACTATGATTTGTGGAAGCCTTTCAAAGAAAAATAATAAGAGAAAAAAATGTTAAAAATAATACTTGAGAAAAAATTTGAAATAGTCAGGAAGTTTAAAAAAATGAAAGAATAAAGCCGACTGACTGACTTGCTCTCAGCACTAAAATGTAAAATTATTAACCAACCAGTCAGTATATTACGTCACTGGATAATTTAAATGCAGACTGTGTTGAACACTTATGGAAGTGTTCTACCAGTCGAGACATTCTTTTTTATAAGGCACAGAGGGTTAATGTAATGTAACCTATGAACACAGGGGGGACTGAGTCACATGTATATGCAAATTGACCACATATAATGAATTTCCAATTTACATATATATAGACGTCATCAATTAAGTTTTTTTAACCAGACACAATCATAAAAATACTTAAAAAATGCAATCATGTGGATGAAAAAGGATTTTGTCATTATAGAATCTCCATAGAATAAAAAAGGTGGAAAGAGACAATTAATTATGTCTGGTATGAGATTCTTTGGTAGTGTCATTTTCAAATCGCTACCTTCCATAAGTATACTATTGTGCGTTGGTGACACAGCGATAAAATTCTCACCAACCACGCCTCATGTGGTTCGGGGTTCGATCCCCAGCCGATGCACTCCTTTAGGTTTCCAAGCCAGTAATAAGACTGATAAAGAGGGAAGGTTGGGTATGAGACTAACAACCCCATCCGTAAAAATAAATAAACCACACTGCTACAGAAACTTCAAGTCTCTAGCTTGAAGCCCCATGTTCCACTGGGAAAGTAAAGGAATAAAAAAATGATCTTGATGTTGGTTCCGTCAGAAACCGGACTTTTGTTTTACATAAAACTATTTAGCCGAAGTTAAGTCATGAAAGTGTCGGCCAACCATGTCATAGTGGATCACTTCCATTCATTACCTGCAAAGTTCTCGTCATACAGAAATGCAAAATATTTCTTGTCTAACTATGAGGTAATTCCATATCAGGAAGGTGTGAAGAGTCTCAAAAAGTAGAAATCAAAAACTTTTAGGCAGTTTTCTACCTCGTGGTTCACTTTCATACTGTGTGGAATTATTGAAAATCTCCAACCCCAGCCAACACACTTCCTTACCTCCCTAAGCAGGTAATAAGACTGGTAAAGAAGTAAGGTTGGGCATAAAGCTAGCAAACCCATCCGTAAGAATAAACACCACTGCAACCGAAACGTCAAGTCTCCAGCTTGAAGCCCTATGTTCCACTGGGAACATAAAGGAATAAAATAATAATAATAATAGTAATAATAATAAGTATATCATATGTCACGATGGTTCATTAGTAGAATCCTCACCAACCACGTACGTCTTTTGAGTTTGATATCCGCTCAATGCAGTTATACACGACGCTTAGCCGATAATAAGCTCGCCATAGTGGGAAGGTAGGGTGCAGGGCTAATAACTCAAACTCACACAAAATCTACCGCTACTAAACCTTCAAATTTCAAGTCTGAAGCCCTTTGTTCCAGTAGGGAAGTGAAAGAATGGAAATAAGTAAACATATCATTATTATTATTGTTTCTTTTAGTTCCTAGAGGAACATGGGGCTTCAGCCACACGTCTATATTGCGTTTGGTTCCCCGCCAACGTTTTCAACTGGCTCCACCTATGCCCACATGCTTTCATCTCGTCTTCACATGACCTCCTCCACTCCATGTCACCTTCCCATTCGGGTTCCATTCGAGAGAGAGCCTGTGGTGTGATGTCACTTAGTGGTTTTCTCAGAGTATGGCCAATCCATCTCCATTTCTTCCTGCATATTTCTTGCACAATCAGTTTCTGGTTGGTTCGCACCCAGAGATCCCTGTTGCTGATCTTTTCTGGCTATCATAGTTTTTCAACAACATCTGATTATTGATTTATTGCAAAAATTAACAGATACAACGAAATATTGAACTCAAAAACAGATTTGGTCGAGAGTCAGTAATCTGTGCAACCTAGGTGTACACTAACCTAAGACCGACAGTTATCTATGCAGCATAAGCAATAAATATTCTTAGAAACCTAGTTAATGAAACGGAAAGACAAAATAACAGACTTCAGTTGGAAATCCAATAGTAAAGTAAACAATTTCAAAATGGCTTTCACCACAAACAAACAACAGTTAAGAAACGGCAGTAAGCCGAAAACTGTACTGATTAATTGTTTGGCGCTACTTTAAGATTGCGTCGGTGGTATAGCGGTTAGGACACTCGCCAACCATGCACATGGTCCGGGGTTTGATCCCCAGCCACAGATGCACTCCTTTACCTCACTGAGCCATAAATAATGCTGGTGAAGAGGAAAGGTTGTGCATGAGGCTAGCAACCCCATCCTGTAAAATAAACACTGCTACAGAAACTTCAGGCCACTAGCTTGAAGCCCTATGTTCCACTAGGGAACGTGAAGGAAAAAAAACTTTAAGATTACTTAGTAGTGTTCATTTTAGCATCCAACTTTTAGACTGAAATTAAGGTACTCACATATCAAACTTTTCTCCGATGTAGATTCTAGTATAACAGTAATTCCAGTTGATGTGAGCTCATAATAACAATTATAATCAAATAAATAACAACTCTCTGTGTACAGAAATAAACTAACTGTGAATATTAATGAACCAGTAATTTCTAAAGTTTATTCAGATGTAACATAGTCATTCTAAGACGAAAAAATTGTTATCCTTTTGTTAAGTTGAAAAAAGCAACAACTTCAAAACAAAATTATGCAAACCAAGTAGGTTATGACTGCCTAACATATACAAAAAGTGAGGACAATGAATTCTTATCAATGCCATACGCATTTCTTTCTGATGCATGCTAACAAACACAATAGTTGGGTTGATTAGAATATCAAAGCAATTGAAAACATAAATGCAAAAAACACTGAGATCTTTGTTCGCTTATTATGAGGAAACTTATTGGGTGGGTTGCAAAAAGTTCCACTCAGTAATAAGATATTTTGCTACTTTCAACGAGAACGTTGTTTCCCTCATCTCATGCATTCCGAGTTAAAAACAAGGCTTGAAGCTTTAAAGTTTCAGTAGCTGCGGTGTTACTTTTGTGGAATGGAGTCGCTTGCCTCATGCTCAACCTTCCTCATTTTCCTGGCTTGCTATCAGTTGATAAAATGGGTGTAGTTTATGAGTGTGTCAGCTGGGAGTCGGACCAGGACCACATGCATAGGTGGCGACCATTCTACCACTGAGCCATCATCTACAATGTGCTGCTCAAATTCCTTAACTTCTTTACTTACCACTGCTCACACACTACCTTAATATACGACTTGATTTAAAGGGTCTAGAAAGTAGTGGTAATAAGGGCAAAAACCTTATGACTCAGCTTGCATTAGTGACTTTGTATCGTTTAAATTAACACAAAGATAATCTATACGTCAACTGGTTCCGTTAGTTTCTCAATGATAAAAATCTCATGCAGCGTACAATTATTATTATTATTATTCCCTTGGGTTCCGAGTGGAACATAGGGTTTTAACAACACATCACCAGTTTCTTTGATTTTCTGCTGTCCTCTTCAGCTGGGTCCACGATCGCCCATAATCCCTCATCTCCTCTTCACACGACCTCGTCCATGTCGCCTTCGCACCAACCACCCATTCGGATTCCACTCGAGCGATGACCTGCATTGGTGGCGATGTAATTCGACGATCTCCTCGACGTATGCCCACTCAATCTCCATTTTTTTTCTGCATATTTTGGTTGAGAAATCTGCTCTTCGTTGGTTTGTTGCCGTATTATTTACACTTCCAATTTTTGAATATATTTAGTATTTATGAATATAACTAGACTCCTCCAGATATATGGAGCCGGCTTTAAATCAATACTGTAACATAAACTAGGCATAGATAACAAAGGATGAGGATCCAGTAATCAATTTATGCACATAGATTTGATTTTAAAGCTTTTAATCTGCTGCATCTTTTAGGTTCTTCCATATGAGTCTGAAACTTGTAGAGTCACGAAAAGCATTTCCAAGAAGTCACTGAAGACTTTTATCAATGGCTGCATTCACTTCATACTGCAGACCAGATGGCCAGCCAGAAGAACTAGCAGCGAGAAACTCTGGGGACGAATCGATCAAGAACCTGTTGCTTAACAAATATGCCGAAGGAAATGCAGATGGATCGACTACACGCTGAAGAGGCCGTCGAGTGATACAGCATGACAGGCCTGGAGGTCGAGCGGATCCCGAATGGGAAGCGGTGGGTTGGGCGTGTGTTCGAAGGTGATATGGTGGATATCGTGTGGAGTCAGACAAAAAGCATTCTAAAGAGCACGAAACAAAGGAAATGTGTTGTTGAAGCCCTATGTTCTACTCGGAACCCAAGAAAACTGGGCACACGCATAAATCGCAACATTTTCTTGCTTATTAAAATGATTTTTTGACTCTAATTTCTAAACTGACCTAAATGAGCTATTTAGATCTGCACACAGTTTCTTGGAATGACTTTGTGCGCTTAACTGTTCTCTTGAATTCTAGCTTAATAAGAATGTTATTCGGAATTCTTAATACTTTTGCCTTATTTATTATACAACAACATAAGGCAAGTCGGATTGTTTCTTTTTGTAACTTATAAGCCGACCAGATTACAAGGTGCCTTCAATTTGTGCGTGAATGTGTTGTGTGAGAAAGAGATACTGGGAAACATTCTGATCTCATCAGTGGTAAGTAGATAATTGAATGTACCTATAGCATACAAATGAACCAATATACAATGTTTCTAGGACTATAGGCAATAAATAAAGCCTGGGAAGCGAACCAATATATAATACATATATAATGGCTAATTACGATACACTAACAATTAAATTAACAAGCACGAAATAGTATTGTGCTACACTTTTCAACTTCACCACCTCTCACATTACCTTCTTTTCGCATATATATTGATTTATTTTCAGTGAAGTATTCCCGTAGGAAGAAGCAATATACATATACTATAAACTCCAGTTAGATAATCGTTATAAAGTCATGGAAACGTAATT